CTCCTCTACGATAGGTGCTACCACAGGCTTCTTTACAGTAGGTTCAGTTGGCAAAGGATCCTTTGGAGTAGGTTCACAAGGCACAGGCTCCTCTGCAATAGGTTCAGCTGGCACAGGATCTGTCAAAGGATCCTTCAGAGTAGACACAGGATCCTTCAGAGTAGGTTCAGCTGGCAAAGGGTTCTTTACGGTAGGTTCAGCTGGCACAGGATCCCTCAGAGTAGGTTCAGCTGGCAAAGGATTCTTTACAGTAGGTTCAGCTGGCAAAGGATCGTCCTTCCGAATGGTGCCCGGCTCCCAAGGCTCTTCACGAACTTCAGCCAGTTCTCCAGCAGCCACGGCAGAAGGAGGCTCCTGTTTTTCTTTTTGTGTGTGTGTGTGGTATGTGGACTAAATTCTAAAACATGTGCAGTCCTTGTGCACGAAATCGCAATCCATCGGCAATGTTTCCATATTGTCGATGTCCATGTACACAGCACCTGGCAAAGTAAACTGCACGCGCATGTTTTTCGTTTAAAGGGCTCAACTAGGGAGTCTTACCGAGCTTTGTTGCAATCATTCACACAACCAAAAGGTAATTCCGAGGGACTCGGAGCAACTGCGCTTGAAGCAGGGATGCTTGAGTTCAACATGGATCGCTGAGCTTCATGTTCTTCTTTAAGCTTCTGGTTCTCTAGCTCAACATGCATGGAGTGTTCATCCAACTCAAGCAACAAGAGTTCCTCAAAAAGGGCTTGCTCTGCTTCAAGGTTTTGAAGCTCTGTCTGCATAAGTGCCAGGGCATAAGCCGGATCATCCTTCACCAAAGACTCAGGTTCCTTCAACATGGTATCCGCTGCGTGAGTCGTACACTTTGGGTCGGGAAGCTTCTCAGCACTGGGCAGATCTCCAAAGGCAAGTCCTTGGATTTTCAATTGTACTGCCACACTAGTTCCAGTTTGAGTGGATGAAATACGAATGCCCAAAAACAAAATGCTAGATATCAGTAACATGCAGCTTAGGAACCTTTTGGGGGAGGGGTGGGCCCAACTTCACCCTTCTCAGAAGCAACCCTAGGCGAGACCTCTGAGATCTCAGGAGGGGGTGCTTTGCAAATAGGTGAGGTAAAAGCAACTGGGTCTACCTCCATGTCTTCTTCCATTTCCTCCTCTTCCCCGTCCTCATCCTCATCAGGCAGATCGCCTCAGAAGATGCAAGCCGTGAATGGTCACTCGGCTCTTTCTTAATTAGATGCGGTTGGAGGGCCGTCCATGGGATCGTCAGGGTCTTCAGGGTCAACAGCACTGGCATCAGGACCAGTGGATTCAGCCTTAATCAGTAGAAGTGTATTCATGCTGGTCAGATTTCAACTTCCATACTTCCAGCCAGAGAGCGGAACCATCATCGTATTCGGCCAAGTCAGATGAACTGCTACAACCTGAGGTGTGGTTGTACAAGCTACTACTGAAGGAAAAGGACTTTGTAAACATATATATGTTGAACGATGTGCTAAGAAACGAGGATCACTTGGCAACGGAATGTCAGCCATCTCAAAAATGGCCCTCATCCCCATTTCCCGTGGGTAATGTCCACGGGCTGCAGCTCGAGTGAACAGAGAGACCAGCCTCTTGATCAGCCATGCCTGACCTCTGGCCACATGACCTGGGCAAATGAAGGGCAAACCAGAACTAGAACCATGTAGATAGAATCAAGCCACACATTTCAGGACACAATTGTTTTTTGTAACACTCTTGGCAAATGATTGCTAGCAAGGAACGGGATAAAGGAGGTTTTCCTCTAGGCCGGGCCAAAAAGAAGAACTCTTCCACTATTGTTGTCAGGGCATCGATGGAAACCTTTGCCCCCATGTGAAATAGCAAAGGGCCCAACACACTGCCATTCGCAATCACATCTGCTCTAGTCAGGCTAGCCCCCGCCACAGTCACTAACTGACCAACAGCACCACGTGCTGACAACAGCTTGTTCGCAAGCCATGCATCAGCAACTGGACTAGCCATGGCAATACAAGCAAGCTGCACAAAATGAACCCACGCACTAGTCAAGCCAAATGCTGGGGGAAACGTTGGCGATATGAGCGCACAGCAAAAACAACTTCTAGAAGATCAATCTTCTACGATCTGACAAGTCTCATTTGCTGGAACAACACCACGGACAAGGGAGCTCGGTAAGCACCTGCCTCCAGTGACCTTCAGGTGCCTTCAGGTCAGCGCCTGTCAATCGGTAAGATCCATATGTTCTGGTATTCTTCTTGACTGGAAGTTGTTCAAGAGTTTCAGTCATCTCTTGAAAGGTTGTTTCTCCAGATTTTGATTCAGTGCAATACATGCAGGGGCGACCTCTATCAATTGTAGCAGCCACAGGCCACGATAGGAACCTTGCAACAAAACAATGGGATGTGGTAGGAAAACCCTTTGGGCCGAAGACCACTAGAAACCAAACAGGGCAGCTGTACCTTAAGCCGAGTTCCAAGTACACGTGCTCTTTTCACCATGCCATCCCAATGTACCTGGAGCTGAGCTCAGGTGAAGACTTCTCCAACAAGTATGAGGTGATGCGTGCACAACACACAGTCTCACAAATAAGTCTTCGTCCATACTTTTTGGTCTTCACATCTAAGAAACTTTATCCAAATTGCGGTGTTTGCACCTTATAAACAGTGAAAGGCATAGTACAGGGAGCACTGAGCCAATCCGGCCATCTTTGGCGCACAAGATATGGCCACAAACGGCTGCTGAATGGAAAACGCTCGACTTCCCAAAAGACGCTCGAGAGGTTCTCAAAGCAAGGCATGTTTCTATAAAGGCTCGAGAGAACTGAAAATGTTACAAACATGTGGTGGAGCATTAATAAACGTTACGTTGGAGGTTCCAGGTTGCTTTTTCCCGGCCCGGGAAAAAGCAAAATGTATCAGACTTCCAATTTGCTTTTTTCCGGGCCGGGAAAAAGCAAAATGGTTCAGACTTCCAATTTGCTTTTTCCCGGCCGGCTCAGATTTCCAATTTGCTTTTTCCCGGGCCGGGATAAAGCAAAATGGTTCAGACTTCCAATTTGCTTTTTCCCGGCCCGGGAAAAAGCAAAATGGTTCAGACTTCGAATTTGCTTTTTTCCAACCCGAGAAAAAGCAAAATGGTTCAGACTTCCAACTTGCTTTTTCCCGGGCCGGCAAAAGCAAAATGGTCCAGACTTCCAATTTGCTTTTTCCCGATGGTTCAGACTTCCAATTTGCTTTTTCCCGATGGTTCAGACTTCCAATTTGCTTTTTCCCGGGCCAGAAAAAGCAAAATGGTCCAGACTTCCAATTTGCTTTTTCCCGGGCCGGCAAAAGCAAAGTGGTCCAGACTTCCAATTTGCTTTTTCCCGATGGTTCAGACTTCCAATTTGCTTTTTCCCGATGGTTCAGACTTCCAATTTGCTTTTTCCCGGGCCAGAAAAAGCAAAATGGTCCAGACTTCCAATTTGCTTTTTCCCGGGCCGGCAAAAGCAAA